GTTTTTTTTTTTTTTTTTTTTTTTTTTTTTTTTAAGAAAGTCTTGTCTTGCCGAGTATACATGGTTCCTGGAGATACAATTTGAATCTTTATTCCTTCAGGTCAGCTAAGTGTATTATAGTGTTCTGGATAACTAACTGGCTCCAAATGGTGGGTTTAATTCCTCAGTATTTGATGGCCTTTGGAAGGTAATGCAAAAAAATACCAGCAGCTCACCAAATTGCCTATAAATAAATATTTTGATGAAAAGCTTTTCTGGTTCCACATCTTAAGTAAAACCAAACACATCAGTACTGACAGTAGTTCAGAAAATTAAAGTGTTTCTAAAATATTTACTGTGAATATCATGTGGTTACAAAGCTGCAAAATAGGGTCATAACATCTAACTTACATAGTTCAATTCCATTGTATTCTTAATATAACTATCATAGTTTCTTAAAAAACAAACAAAAAACCACCACCAACAAAACCAACTATCATCCAGATCATGAATAAGGAAATAATGCCATTATTTGTAGTCAAACAAATTAGTGTTTTTGTGTTGTGTAAAGTATTATTATCAGGGAAATGCTTTAATTAACCAACTTCCTTATCCAGAGATTACAGATAATGCTGTTTGATACGTTTTTCTTGATCACGTTTCAAGATAATCATCATTGCCTCTAACCATTGCCTCTATTAAGCAGTTCCCAGTTTACAAAATGTTGAACTCCTAAATTGAAAATTAATACACTAGAGTGTAACTCCCCTCCCCTTTTATCATCATAAAGGGCATTTAAACAAATCAGGGCGCTTTTACCCACAGTGATTGTCTGGTAGTGAGCCTGATCCATGTGATACCAGCAAGCTGTTTCCTAAACACATCACTAGAACTGGGGACTGTCCAGCATAGAGGACCCTTTATGGTAACATAACCTCCTGGGTTTTCTCTGTGGACTCATTCCTATTCTCAAACTATGTGGGTTTAGTTGGAATGAACCCCACTGCCATTTCCCAGCATGGGTCTTGATTGCTTTAAAATGATCAGTGTATTTATCATCCAACCCCAATCCCCAATGGCCATTGTGATTGGCTCAGGGATAGGCACATTAACCAATCAGAGCCAATGATGACTTTTGCTGGGCATTCTGAGAAATAAGTTTGCCCTCTCTCTTGTGTGAGCAACCAAAAAAAAAAAAAAAAGAACCTCTCCCTTTCCTTAGAATGAGTAGTAGTAGGAGAATGTTAGATCTGGAAGGAAGTGTGGCAGCCATGTTGATGAGAAAAGCCGAGAGCCCAGAGCTGCTGAGACTAAGGTATTGGGAGGGTTGACACAGAACCCTGTGGAGCCTACAGTCGAAGACAACTTCACAAAAGCCAGCTTCTTTAGGCTGGAGATGGAGAGACCTGAGCCCTGGGAGCATGGTGTGTGTGAGCTTTTGGATCAAACTTCACCTGAATCGGTCACAACTCTAGACTTTTCAGCCACTGAGTCAGTACATTTCCTTTGATGTTTGTCAGTCTGGGTTGATTTTTTTTGTTACCTGCACCATAAGGAGCCCTAAACCATGAAGGCACAATAGCCTAAACTGGATAGAAGCATTTGGGCCCCAGAACGTGTATTTCCAGGAGCACCATGCTGCTACCTATCCTACGACGGGGACTGGGAAGGAAATGGGCCAAAGCTAGGCAGTCAACCAGTAAAACAGGTGAGACATTCACGGATGGCTTCCATGGTGATGCCAAGGAGACAGAAAAGAAACCAAAGACACAGCTTGGGAGTTGGGAGTTCTTGCTCAGGCATGCGGGGGTTACGGGGTGGTGCTAATGGCTGAATAGTAGTCATGTATTTGTGAATTAAAGTCTCCCTGGTTCTCACAATCGGTTGGTAAGTTAATTACGAAAAGTTTTCTAGTTGATAGGAAAAAAAAATGGTCATTAACGGAAACTGCAGTCTTCATGTTTTAAGAAAGAGTGCTTATTTTCAATGCAGATAAAATAGATTTACCTGGCAAAAAAAGGCATAAGAATAAGTGTCTAGGGCTTCCCTGGTGGCGCAGTGGTTGAGAGTCCGCCTGCCGATGCCGGGGACACGGGTTCGTGCCCCGGTCCGGGAAGATCCCACATGCCGCGGAGCGGCTGGGCCCGTGAGCCATGGGCGCTGAGCCTGCGCGTCTGGAGCCTATGCTCCGCAGCGGGAGGGGCCACAACAGTGAGAGGCCCACGTACCGCAAAAAACAAACAACAAAAAAAAGAATAAGTGTCTATTTTTCAGGTTATTCTCATCAGTGGATGCTAAAGAATGGGAAACCACTCTTAAATAAGCACTGTATTTGTTCATTTGTCATTTTGGAGTCTCTCATTCAGTAAATAGTAATTTTGTTAAATTTTAAGGGTCACAGTTAAATGTTTAGCCTTGATTTTAATATTAGATCAGAGTCATTTTTCATGGTTTGCTCTTTTTCACAAATTATTGCTTTGCCTTTTAAATAAAATTGAAAGGAAATAGAATGAGACCAGGGTGGGCAGGGAAACATTTCTTTAGCTTATTTTGAGAAAAAGAATATTCTTTCTTTGTCCATTCTGAACGTAGAAAATCTATTTTTTCCATATGTTACTGAAATATTTAACAATTCATAAAAAACATAGCATTTACATTAAAATACCACCTTAAATACAGCCCTGTAATTTTCACCAGGAACCTTGTAAAATATCATGAATATACATGCATGAATACTAAAACAAGAAAGACCACTCAAAATTCACATGGAAGTGCAGCATTTCACACAACATAATAAATATCCAGGATATCAAATCCACAAATTGATCATTATTCTGATTTAGATTCTTTTTTCCAGTTAAGACTTTTACTGTGTAATTTATTATAATAACCTTACAAGTTAAACATAACTAATTGAGAACAGAATTCAACTAATCTGACTGCTGAAATAGCACAATTGTCAATACATTGCCGCATATTTTAATTTACAACATATAAAGCTGCCATTTTGGCAGGAAATACACATCCATGTAACTAACTGTTCATTGAACTTCTTTTTCAATGTATGAAAAAATGTCAAAGTTAATAGTATGAAAGGAAACAGAAGCTACTATTATTTCTGAGATAATTTTATTGCCTTAGCTCTTGGGCTTTGGCAAAAAATATCTTAAGTTTCAATATATATCATATAACTTAAAAACAGTATTTACAAAATATAAAAAAATTTAACAAAATACTGTACAAAATACTGTCTTTACACATTTAAAGGGTGCTTTTCCTTACAATGTACGAGAGCCCTTTATATTTCTACCTCTGATTTTCCCACATGCTTTCAGGATCCCTTCCTCCAGTATTTCAGAGCTGAGTTTTTAATAGTGGAAGCTGGTCTATAATGAAAGTGTGAAGCCAAAGATAAAGGTTGCTATATACCTCACTGATACTCTTCTAGATCAATTCTCCTGGTTAAAAGTCACTTAAACTCCAAATCATACATTTTGCTTTTTACATTTTGCTTCTTACATCTTGCTTCTTTTGTTTTGTCATGAAATATCGCTAACAAACATGTTTTAGGGGTGTTATATCACTTACGAAGATTCTTTATTCTGAAATGAATGAAAGTGTTAAGTAGGCACCCACCACTTCTGTTAACCTGCCCCAACACCTTCTGTTTCTATGCACCAACACTTAGTATGATTTCTTCATAAAAAATACTCAGAGAATGAGATTCATGTTTACTGCTCCTTGCTGCTCTAATAGATGTCTTTTTTAAATGACTAATATTCACCCACCACTATTGAGTTCCATAACCGAGTTCCATAGTCAAGGATCTTATCCTGAGTATGGACCAGGTCTCTCGGCATGAAGGCTCTTTCCTGTTCTTTCTTGCTTACGAGACAGTTTATCTTCCTTGCCCTCAATATCTGTTCCCTAAACCACCAACATATGAACTCAAACTTTTTCAGTTTTAGAATCCCAAGAAATCTACATGCCTAGTGTGTGACACTGACATCGATCAGGTAAAGGGACTTCTGAGAGAGCCTCCAGGATCTGGGAATTCTGAGGAGGCAGGTGTCAGGCTCCCCAGCCCAGCACAGTGGGAGCCACTCCCGTTGTACGTCTGTCACTGGGGACTCTTGCCCAAGGCTGGAGTGGTTACTTGCAAGTGTGGACATCAGTCATGCTTTCACACCTCCTGCAGCGGACGTAGCAGCACCAGATAAACTTGCACTCGCATCGCTCCACGTGCCTGACCACGTGGGTGTTGTAGCCCCTGCCGCAGCAGAGGAGGTTGCAGCCGTCTGCTCCCTCTGACGTGCGGTTGCACTCTCTGCCTTGGGTCCCTGGGATCCCGAGTTTCTTATCCCCTACGCAGTAATTGGGAGACTTATTAATGTAGAGCAGATCATCCTTGTGGATCGGTATTTTCCTTTGATCTTTCTCTCTCCTGTGCAGTTTCCTCTTTATTTTGTCTGAGATTTGGACACTGTTTTCATATTTATCCTTCAACAGACGGCCAATCTTTTCAAAAGAAGACATGGTTTTCCAGCATGTTTTCACAGCACAGGAGCCGGAAACTCCGTGACACCGGCAGTCTAATGACATCAACTTGGCGACAGCCTGAAACCAACAGGAATTGAGTGAAACATCGTTCATGAAGTGTTTTACTCAACAACAGAAGCACTACCAGCCTAATCACTTAACTTTCTAGATCTGTTTACTCCTGTATAAAAACGATGGTTAGGGCTTCCCTGGTGGCGCAGTGGTTGAGGGTCCGCCTGCCGATGCAGGGGACACGGGTTCGTGCCCCGGTTCGGGAGGATCCCACGTGCCGCGGAGCGGCTGGGCCCGTGAGCCATGGCCGCTGGGCCTGCGCGTCCGGAGCCTGTGCTCCGCAACGGGAGAGGCCACAACAGTGAGAGGCCCGCGTACCGCAATAATAAAAAAATAAAAATAAGAAAAAACGATGGTTATATACTTCAATTAAAATTAAATAAAATAATAATAGTTTTAAAAATACTCCAATTAAATAATAGAAATAAAATAATAATAATTTTTAAAAATAAGGATGATTTTGCACGTAAAGGATCTTTTAGATGCTTAGAATTCAAATGTCTTGTCCTCTTCACCCTACAGAACAAACCTTTCTGAGTCTAATTTAAAGCTGCAGACCAGGCTAATAATGCTAACAGAGATTAGCTGAGATAACAAAGGGAAGCTACTTTTATTTCTAATCTCTCATTTAATTTTGGGTGTGAGAGGATGTTCATTAGCGCTTCTATGTTCCTGATACCGTTCATTTTAGCACCTTGCTACTCAGAGTGTGGTTCATGGACCAATAGCGCCAGCATCACTTGTGAGAAATACAGACTCTCAGGCCCCTCACCAAACCTGCGGAATCAAAATCTGCATTTTAATAAGTTCCTCGGGTGACTTGTATGCACACAGAAACAGCTGTGGAACTTTACAAATAACCCCTGAGATTCTTATTTAATTTGTCAAGGTGGGGTCCAGGCAATGACCTCTACAAAGCTGCTCAGATGATTCCAAGAGCATCCAAGGATGAGAGCTACTGAACTGACAGTTCTCAGGCTTGATCACTGCAAAAGTCAGTTATATTCACAGGGGTTTGGGAGGATATGCTATCCCCTGGTCACAGAACACATGAGAAATCCTGACTAATCAACTTAAGTTGGTCAAAAGAAGGGGTTGGAGAGTGCAGTGGCTCCCAGCCAATTCCTCCCCTCTTCTGGAAAATTAATTCAAAACATATGTCCTATTCTTGATGTATCAGTAGCACCCTCCTAACATAGAAAAGGTATAATATTTATATGATTTTTCAATTCCAAGCGCTGAGTTATTCTGCTCAGATGGAGGAATTCAATGAGATGACATACATGGGTTAGAGTCCATTGCCTGACACACATTAAGGTCAAAATAAATGCCCCCTGTCCCTGAAGAAGAAGGTACCGTGAGAGTTGAGATAAAATTTCAAATGGGGCTAACCGTGCAAAAACAATACAGACATTTCTAAAATAAAAGTTTATAGTTCTAATTTCTTACATACCGGCTAGTCAGCATAACTTCCTTCAATCCCCAGAGGATGGCAGAGCAGATTAATAAATCGTCAGGACTAACTGGAGAGTTGACATTCTGTCAACAGGCTGGGTAAAATAAAAAATTGGTCTAGCCATTCGATAACTTGGAAATTATGTGTGTAATCTCGCCAAATAAAGGAAAAACCCCACCGCTTAAATTCCACTTACAGTTCTTATCAAAACTATAAAATGACAGGGGTTTCTACTTTGTTATTTTGTACCACAGTTGACATTGACATGTTTGTGGAATGTTACATTTCCTAACAAATTAACTAAAGTTTCTGAACTATCTAATGAGACAGAGTATTTCAAACAATTTGTTATATTTGCAGCCTTGAATGAGAGCATATGGTATTGATTTGTGTAATATTCAATACTTTTTATTAGTGTTTAATATAATAAACTGAACATTTAAACACTGTCTTTTATAGGATACGACATATATGCTTGTTTTGAACTCATGAAACTAAGAAACGAGTAGATACGTCTATTTCTTATTATCTCAGGTAAAATTTACCTTTCAATTGAAAACAATTTGGCACAAAAGCTTATTTGGTTAAATTTATGGCATTTGATATTCACAAAGCCTTCAATTTTTAAAAAGTCTCCAGGCAAATAAATGTTCAAATTAATGCGATCTGCCTACTTTTGTTCAGACTTTAAGTGCCCAAAGGATATGAGAAAAAGAGAGCTCAATCAATGCCAGGTAACAGCAAAACAAATTGTCCAAAGAAAGCCAAAAATCTAAGAAAGTAAATTTATGTGTTTGAACCTGATCAATGCTCGTTACAGTCATCACTTAGTGATTTAGAGCTGCCTCTCGCTGATTCTTGACTGAGGAGCCGACTTTTTCTTTTATTAACCAGTTCAGACATCACCTATGGTGTTGCCAATTTGCAAAGCATGGAGGACAGAATAGATGCTCACCAAATACTCATTGAATGGTTAGTCTAGCTCACTTGAACAGTTTTAACTCATCCTCTGTTGGTAATCTGAATCAAGAGGAAGTAATAAAGACCACTTTCTTCAACAAAAGAGTCACTGCCAGGAAGTCAGTGATATTGGGAGACCCTGACCTGGCTGGGTTTTCCTCCAATTCCTCAGCCCACAACAGTGTTAGGACACAAGAGTGACACACTACTGCCCAGGTGTGAAGGATACGAGGGAAGACTGATCTTGAATCCAGTGATACCACCTGCTGAATTTGTAGCTGAATTTCGGGGAGAGCTTCCTGCCATAGAAAACTAGAAACTTTTAAATATGTGGAGTTAACTAAACTTTCTAGAGATATTTTTAAGGAATTTAATTCTATTATCTTTCAATTCCATTACCTTTTTGTCTTTAATGATAAGTATAAGAAAAGAAATAGTATTTTTATTATATATGTGAATACTATTCATATTGATATTCTAGGACAGAAAGACAAAGAACTCGACATGCAATTTAAATGATTATACCCTTGTAAGACTCCAAGGAAGAAACTTGGACAAATAGGGATAAAATAAAGCGATGCAACCACCACTAGGAGAATGTGATGAAATGCAGAGTTCAAGGGCAGATAACATGTACACACACACACACACACACACACACACAGAATTTTACTCTCAGAGTTAAATTTTCATAAATTATTTTACTTGATTTAGTTTTATAGGAAGAAATGCCTTGCATATAGTAGGTAGTTCATGAACATGTACTTGCTTATTATTCCAATTTGACAGAAAAATAAATAGCCTGGTTGAGACACTTGTCTTCCATAAAGATAGATGGTAATATATGATATAAAGTCTTTATATGCAGCAGGATAATTTTGGTAGAACAGAGAAAAATGAAAGTGGAAAGTACAAATATATTTAAGAAAATTGCATGAACACTCCAAAAATATATATTCTGGAGCTTTTCAGCTAGGATTCTTAACTGATGTCAAATATCCATTCTGAGATGCAGTGATAGCATAGTGATTTTCTAACAGGAGAAGTAAGAGAATAGCAAGCGAATGAGTTGTGTGTGGTTATGAGAAAATTCCTTTATTTCGCTGAGTTGTTAAGGTTTATAACGATATTAACAGAGGAATGTTTTGTTAACTATTGCAAACAGATGTGCACATTTTGGTGGAATATTTTTAAACTATGGGAGAGCAATTGGGAGCATAGCATTTAATCTACTGGGCTCCCTATGTTAAGTTTTGGTTTGATAAATTTCTGATGAAGTGAAATAAGAAAGATGTATCATTAACACTTAATGTAAAACTAGAAACTGTTTGAGAAGTGGTCTAAGGAGTTAGTTTTGACTCAGAGGTAACAGCCAGAGGTGATTGTTTTTCGGTAGGTTGCTTTATCCAAGCTTTACAGAAATGACTAAAAAAAAAAACAACACAACTGTTATGGAACATTTTTGTCAACTATCAGATGATCTGTTTAAGTTTTTATGAAAACGGTGACATAAATTGGATGGCTAATTGTAGTATTCCTATTTCCCTGACCCATTTTGTCCCTTTCAGTCCAAAAATATATATGAACCTGCTGAAAAGCAAAACACTTGTGTGTTGTTCAAGTACTTGTAAATATTCTTGAAACAGGTTAATGAAATTTGGGCGTGGGGCCCATGCCACTTTTTTGAGTTACTCATCATAAAACAAATTATGGGGTAGGGAAACTTAAAAGTTTATGAGGTGGACATGGGAAGAATGGAAATATTTTAAGCACACCAAAAGAAATACCCATAAATATTCCAAGTCACATTATTTTCAGAAGTTCTGCCCCTGGAAGACATCACATCGTTCTGTTAGACAATCACCATTCGGCAGCATTATTCTTGGAGTCATAACTTTAGGAATGGTGTCAGAAACCAAGTGGGAATTAGAGTATTTAAGGTCAGCGGTTAGAAAATCATCTATTCTGCTCACAGCACTACTAAGCACCAGTACCCTCATTTCTCTGACCGCTTTCCTATGTTTTGAGTTTGGGATTTTGAGATGAGGAAAATCAACTCAATTGAATGCAGACCTTGAACCTTACTCAGAAGGATATACCTATTAGATTAAACTCCTAATTGCCAATATTGAAAATGTAGTTTTTTGTTCTTCCACGTTAGGTAATATCTTGGAAACCTGGTTGATTTTTGTTGTTGTTCCGGTGCTGGTGGTGGTGTTGGCTTTTTTTGTGTTTTTTTTTTTTTGACCACCAATGGAAAGACAAATATTAAAATGTTTTGAATTGTAATAGTTCATGAGAAAAGACCAACAAAAACATCAGTGTAGTACCCTCAAAATATCCAGGTAATATTTTGTAATATTTTAAGATTCCATCTAGACCAATGTGGAAAAAAAAAAAAAGATTCAGTAGAGAAAACTGAAATTTACACAAAATGTGTATATACCTAAAGGCTGAATTTTTTTTGGCATAATTAGAATAATAGGGAAAACCTCAGTAAAGTGAGGACATTGTTTTATTGCCAACAAACAGTGGATTAAAATTGATGCTGAATAGTTGTATGTTTTTTTCAAAAAAATCAGAATATAAATAGATCAAAGTTAATAGCTACAGAGGCAAATATTGCTACCTAATTTGAAAAAAAGCCACATAAGACAGAATGAAACTAAATAGCTGTCTAATATTGCTAATAAAAATACATTTTAGAATACTTTAGGACTTTTTATAAGTCTGGAGATAACTTTATTCAAAAGAATGAATTATAACATGAGTTTGAAGTTTTGTTTTCTGATTAAATTTTTTTAGTCTCTATCAAATTATTTAAAGAATGACTAAAGAAGATTTAAGGTCTAAGGTGATACTAAATATTCATTCAATTGTTTTCTTGTTTTTAAAATGTATTAATTTGACTTGATGTTTTTCTCTAGTTTAGAGTTTTAAAGAACAAATGTTAATTACCTTTAACCTCTTTTATATTAATATGTTAGAAATAAAAAAAATCCTTTATTGGATATTATTTAAATTGAAGCAAAAACTCATTCATTTAATTATTTTTTAATGTAAAACTTTATCAAGAAGAGACATGTGCATAACTATGGTGTTAGCGGGAGTTACTTTAGTGAGATAAATTAACTTAAAATTTCAAAACAAAAAAATGAAAAGCTTATACAGCTATTTACTGACTTTCCTATTTTCGAATCTTCCGTTTTGGATCAATATTCAAATAGAACTGAATAGTCAAATTTGAATTTGAAGTGTTATGATGATATATTTATTGAGTTTTCGGTTTTTGTATTTTAAACCAAAGTGGTTAAGTAAAGAAAACTGGCTGAAACTTGCAACTATTCCAAGAGAGTTCCATTTATTCACTTTCCAAAAATGTAAAACAAATGCAGCATATACTTTAAATATTCCTAAGAGATACCGCAACTCATTTTAATTTATTGCAGGAGAATGTGGCAGATTGCAATGACTACTTTGGGACCTTTACAGGTTATTGAATATTTACGATAATATAGGATATGTGGTGATATTCCCATCCTGAAAAGATTATTACAAAATAGAAAATCTATATACCTAAGAGAGGTTTTGACTGTTTTTGGAAAGTCACTATGAATTACCAAGTAATTCAACTATGTTGTAGAACTCAAAGTTTATTGTGTCAGTATTCATTAAGGGAAATACATAAAAGTTATATTAAGCTACAAATTTACGCCCTTTTAAGAAAACTTAGCATTAAAATATTCATAAAAGAGGTTAATTAGATGTGATTCTTCAAATTTCCCTCTCCCTAGATCTTTAATATATCTATATTTTTAAATATCAAAATATTTAATATATCTATAGTTGCTTTAATTTATCTGTATTTATCAGTTTTTACAGTGAATCTACATTGCTTTATAATAACATAACTATTTCCCTTAAATAAATTTTGGTTTATGAAAAATATTACTTGAGTTGTGTATTCTCTAATGTATTCAAGAATGTTTTGCTAGAGAAAGTAAGGACAGAACTGATAACTTCTTTAGATGTCATTGCCTACTAAAATATAGATTTAAAAATATAATGAAAATTCAAATTTGAAAAAATGAAATTTGATTCAGTCCCGTTAGAAAGGCAGATACTGTAAGTCTTATTCTGGCTCTGCAACTAACCATCTAAGAGGGTGGAATAAAATGGCTCAACAGGCACTTGTACTTCTGTTATTTTATAATTGGTGTTTTAGGTATACGAACTATACAATCACAAATATATTGTATAATAAGATTCAACTCACATCAGATGGAAACTTAAACTAAATCAATATGGTCAGTACAGGCTCATGAAAGAATATATATATTTATATATACTTGCTGTTATACATATATAATAAACATACACATATAATTTTACATACACACACACACACACACACACACACACACACACACACACACACACATATATTCTTAGACTGCAAGCGTTTGGTTTTTAAAGCATTTGGTCAGATTGATCCAGAAGTGTAATCCTAGCGTTATTTACCTAAAGGCACTGGATTTCTATTCCATTTTCTAATACATACCTGCCTTCCAGCTTCATTGTTATGTAGGTTCATTGCTAACAGTATTTTGCTTTCTTTTCCCGTGGTGTTTCTGATGGGGAAATCTAGGAACTTTCTGCTGACCCACATGCCATACTGGACATCATCAGAGCAGCCCCCCCAGTGCCAGCCTTCACTTGCTGAGCCGCCGTTCTGCAAGGTGGTGTCACAGGAACACTCGGTCATGTTGCCTGCACTGCATGACCTGGTCACAGAATGCACCAGGCCTGCAGCCATCACAGCATAAATAAATGCTGTTTCCTTGGTGCCTAGAATAAAACATAAGTTGCTAAATGAATGAGTCATACTGTTCTCTGTTTATGTTCCTAACAAAGTCTTCTACTTATCTTCTTATCAGGGAAGCAACTTTTCAGTGGATGCTGTAATGAGTACATATTTAAGAAAGGACAATTTCGTATTGTTCTCAGCTTTTAAAAAAGCAACATTAATTTTCAGTATGATTTTCCTATATTGTATATCATAAATTGTCCTCATACCTTAATATCATCTGTTTATTTTTAAAATTTGAAATGTATGTCAGCATCCAGCTCAACACTTAACAGACAACACTTAACAGACACTTAACAGACAATAAAAATTCTATAAATACACGTTGAATTTAAAATCCCTCGTATGGATATGTAAATAGTGATACAATGCCCAAAGTGATACAATGCCCGCTTACCCTTCTCATTAAATTTAAAATGTGTTATCAGAAAACACAAGCTGAAAAATTTGGTGTGAATTTTGTTGTATAAAAAATACATGTCAGAATGCAAATTAAAATTAAGCAAAGACCAAAGCAATTAGGAGATAAATGTTGCAGTTTCATTTCACATCAAAGACTGATTTTTTAAGGATATCCTGAAAAACAATATTAATATGAAAGTTAAATATTATATAAATATTCTTATATACAGTATTACATCGTCTTACAGTATTAAAGGCAGTTAAAGAAAATTGAAATGTCATCAGCAAAAAAAAAAAAAAAAGAATTGTTATGGAAAACAATTGAATATTGAATATGGATATCACACACCTGCAATAGGTTTTGAGCTAAAATCTTTGAAACTTAAAGTCCCATTAAAACAGTAATAAAATGGACTAGAAGGGACTCAGCAGGCGACTCCCCCCACCCCACCCCCGCCTTTGGAGATGTTTAGATTGGAGTAGAAACGTTATCACGTCGTTGTCCAATAAACCCTTTCAACAGCTGATGCCTCTACATTTCAGCAACTGTGAAGAACACATCCTCTTCTTTTTTTTCTGCAGGGAGTCAGGGCTCTTTCGGAAGGGTGTGCCGGCCAAAGCGCAGCGGGGCAAAAGCGATGCTTTGGCGGCGGTGAGTGTAGGGACCCGGCGGGGAAGGGTCAAAGGTGGAGGGGGAACCGAAATGAGTGTGAAAAACAACTAAGAATCTTTCAGCGCCCAGGGCCTGAAATCCTTTGAATCTGCTGATACCTCTGTACCTTTATCCTTACCAAGTCACTGCTAGGCCGGTGGAAGTGGAACTTTGTGTTACTGCAGCTTCCCGCGCCGCAGCTGTGCGCAGAGGAGGGAAAAGATAGAAGGAAAGGAATAGAGGGGAGAACTAAAGGAGTGCTCGAGCTAGCCTCACGTGGGGCTGCCCGGGACAGTCCCTTTAAAATCGCCATTATTCCGTCTTCCCGGTGCTGTAAGGAGCCAACCAGCTTGGGGCTTCGCTGCAATTAGCCAGGGCTCGGTGCGCAGCGGAGCTGCTTTTAAATCAAAGCAGATGCGGCAGCGGCATTCCCTGCAGCCGACATCATGTTTCTCCAGCTGGTCACCCACGTAGGGGGGCGCTACGGGGTCCGAGGGGTCGGCGGGGTGGAGTGTCAACTTTTCCCCAACTCCGGCCGGGCGCCGCGGGAAGGAGGAAAAGCTACAGCTCCACGCGCCCCGCTCGGGACCTGGGGTGTCACCCCGTCCAGGACCGCACCTGCACCCGGGTCTGGCTTCAGTCGCCCCCCCAGTTCCATTGCACTAAAGGACCTCTCTGGGGATTTAGGGAGCGACGGGACCACGCAAGCACTCTTTATTTACAAGAATTGGAGGACCTGCCCTCCGTCCCGCGCCAGCTGCGAGCGTCCCGGGACTCACCGCTGCTCAGCTCGTAGCCAAAGAGAGGGCTGGTGTCCGGCGGGGCGGCGGCGGCGGCCGCCAGGCAGTTCCATCTCTCGTATCTGAACTGGCTCCTGCACTCCTGAATGCCCAGACGGGCGCCCTCGCAGATGCTCGGCAGCAGGTACGGTTTCCTCTTGCACAGCTCCTTCTGGCGGCTGTTCAGCGGCAAGCTGGCGCAGCCCAGCTTCTCCGGAACCCCAAAGGAGGCGATGCCCAACCACCTGTAAGACAAGGCCACCCCCAGCGTCAGCCGCTGCCCTGCTTTCCTCCCCAATCCCAGATGTTTACCCGAAATTTACGTCGCCCGCCCTAGGGCCCCGCCTCTCCCCTCCAGCCTCAGCTCAAAGTTCCCTGAGGCTGGGCATCCCTTTTGCCACAAACCCCGTGCGCCCCTGCTGCCCCCATACTCACATCCAGTTTCCTTGGGCTCCGCAGGGGAACAGCGTGAGCAGGGCTGCCCACAGCGCGCACAGGCGGGACAGTCCCAGGAGCGCTGCTCTGTCCATGGCCCCCGCATGGAGTCCCCCAGGCCCAGCCACTCCCCTTCGACCCTCCCCAGCCGGAGGCCCACCAGGACAGAGGTCAGTTCCCCAGCACCAAGTTGTCCCTCGCCTCCGTTCTCCCTGCAGACAACGTAAAAAGAAGGCCAGCCGTGGTAGGGGCTCCCAGCAGCCTTCTCCTCGCGAGCTGGGAGCAGCGTGAGGAAGTTGGGAAAGTAGCTTGGGGCACTCCTCCCGAGACGAGCTGAAGACGTGCCGGAGATGCGGGAGCGTCCCTCGCATTCCAAGGTGAGAAACTTCTGTTGATGTAGCTCTGTCTCCATCGCCCCCCCCTGGCCGCGCCCGGAGCCTGATTGGCCCAGCAGCGGCCCCTCATCTCATCATCCCGGGTCCTCAGGCTCCCATTGGCTGAGAGCAGGCTCCGCGGGGGGCGCTCGGGTCCGCTGTTCCCCGACAGCCGGTCCAGATCCTGTGTTCCTGACCTTTCCTCCGGTCACAGTTTCCTGAGAGCGGGTCTCTGCGGGAGGGGTATTGATTCAACCCGAAGACTGATAGGGGAGCTTCTGTCTTAACAACCCTGGCTGAAGGTGTGGGTTGAATGGGCGATGTTTGAGTTCCACCCACCCCAGTCTCATCTGGATTAATTACCCTCTGGGTGGAGTGGATGGAAAAATCTCACTGCCCCCGTTTCTTTCCTCTCCTTCACCTCACAAGAGAATAATCTTTTTGAGTCAGAGTTGGTACCAAAAAATTGACCTTTCAACACCCTGCTTGAGGTCTCAACGTTTCAGGAGACTTTAGAGAATGAGTGAAATACTTGTCAAGCTTGAGACCGATCATCGTCCGTCCGTGAAGGCATTTACTTTTATCGAAAGGGAAGATTCCAGCCTAGCATCGAATCTACCATATTGAAATTGTGCTAGGTGATTTCGTTTTACCATTTTGCTTATTTTCCGTAGTCTTTGAGGGCACTGTCAGAAGATGGAGGGCACAGAGAGAATGTGAGGGAGAGCTGTCTGGAGAGCTCTAGAAAGGTGAGGGCTGTGTTCTTTCCCTTCTCTCCAATGCACACTATGTCTCTCTTGGAGACTTTGGACAGGGCTACACATTGAAGACAAATTTTAAAAGCTTACTTATGAAACACCTACTGTGTGTCCACTACTGTGAGAATTTATGAAGATCCCTTCCCTTAAAGGCACAACCTTTCTGGTCTTGTCTCCAGCCATGGAGACAAGTCTGAAACAAAATAATTTGAGATTATCAGTAAAGGAAAGTATAGAATCCAGCAAGTTACTCTTTGGAGCCAAAGAGTTCGGAAGCAGGAGAATGTTCTGGTGCCTGGAAGTTTAGAGAGTTTAGTTAACCAGTGTTTTCCAGGTTAGAAGATCTCTGGGGAGAACTCTGAATTCAGGCGGCACATGCTTAGCTGCGGTATCAGAAAACGCTGTCCCACCTAGTTGGTGACAGGAAATGTTTATGAGAGGCATCACCTGCTCCTCAGAGGACTTCTGAAATGTTAGTAAACTCTCAGCGTATACCACCTTAGTGGGTTCCAAAATCTAGACTTAACTCAAATTAAAGATTTACTTTATTAGCTTTATCCTCAAATAAATGATTTTATTTGCTGCATGTCTCCTATATCAGCCCAGAGCAATAAAAGCTCACTGAAATTCCCATCCTGTCCCATTCATTCTTTTATCCAACAAATATTTATTGAGTGAACGCTATGTACCAGGTCCTAAAGCCACATTGTAATTTTTAGAGAGTCAAGTTGATGATAGGGTGTAGTTACTGATCCAGAAATATTTTGGCTAATGGCTAGTGGCCTCTCTGAAAATCAGAGGCTTCATCCAAGCTCACTTTATTCTGTGAGCCTCTCCATGAGGGATAGTGGAGAATTCCCGGCTGAACTCCTGCCATGGGGCCCAGTACACGAGATCCTGGTTTTGAGCACAATTTACTGAACAGATTAACAATGTGGTGAGGAACATCCCGAGCAGATATCTAAGTGGCCCAAATGGTGAAACTGGAGAAGAGGCTTCCTCTGCAGGGGTTTTGGGGAAGAGCTGGGGGAGTGGAGAACAATTCCCTGCTGAACTCCTGCCATGGGGCCCAGTACACGAGATCCTGGTTTTGAGCACAATTTACTGAACAGATTAACAATGTGGTGAGGAACATCCCGAGCAGATATCTAAGTGGCCCAAATGGTGAAACTGGAGAAGAGGCTTCCTCTGCAGGGGTTTTGGGGAAGAGCTGGGGGAGTGGAGAACACGAATACTTTAGGCTGATTTTTCGAGCCAACGATGGTAGATGTTTTAAGGAAGTTGCTGGACTTTTTTCCTTTAAGAAGATATACTGAGCCTCTGTTACGGGTTAAAAAGTGGGGATAGCACTGATGGTAGTGGAGTTTATGGCCCAGTTGGCAAGACAGACAAGGGGACGGGCAATCACAGCCAGAGCAATGAATGCACCGGGAACACACACTGTAGGATTACTTAATCTGGTTTGGGAGTGGGGTCACTTGTTAGTCCAGGGATCAAACACTGTCCAGGCATCCAGATAAACCTTTAGAGGGGCACTCACAGTATTCTGTTCTTAGAGTCTAAGACCACTGGGTCAACTAGTTTCAAATCTAAGGCACAGTTTCAGGGCCTGAGTGGTCCTGAATCTTTTCTGTGTGGTCCCATTTTGTATCTTCTGTTCCACTTTTCCTTGTGGATTGTAATTAAAATGAATTATTTTCTTTGCAGAAATATCTTAAGGTGGTCGAATTTTAAAATGTATTATAATCCTGTCAGGTCACATGAAACTTTATTTAGAAGATAAAAGAAGTTACAGATATCTTCTTTATCCTGGAATATGAAGGTGAGGGGCTCCTTCAGAATCTAATTTATATCTCTTATTAATTTGAAGTGGTTCATCTCTACTACCATTAGTGGGGGTTACGCTCTCTATTTAAAGCTGAAGAATAAAGTAAACGATGGGTCAAATCCAAACATATACGCAACTACACATTTCAAATTGTTTATTTCTTTAGCAGCAAGAAGGAATCTCATTTCCTATTTATTATTTTTGATTTTGTAGTTCAGAGAGAGAACAAAATATTAACTGTCTGATAGAACGTAACCTGGTGCTTACTGTCTTATGCAAGCTTTCTAAAAAATGTTGTAAAGATCATACCACTAATTGTTCAAAATGGGAGCTGAACTTGTATCATCTCATGATCTGAGCCCAGCTACCTAAAATTTGATTAATGCTGTTAAGCAAAGCACAGTGTAACTCCAAGTTTGCACAGATTACTGAGCATCTGTAGCTTCTTGATCTGGCGAGAAGGGTACATGAATTTGTTTCCCTAACAACGGTAAGGTGTTTTGAGCTACATTCTGGAAAAGGAGATTTAGGAGGGAGAGCCAGAGGAAATATTCATTTCACTCAAAGAAGCTCTTCAGAGGGACTGCATCTCTGACCATGGTCCTCTCTGACCAACTGGGCCAGCTGAACCAAGATAAGTAGCTGGCCAGCAATAAATCCCACCTCCCATCAGGGACAATGGTAGATTATTAGCTGTAGAACCCAGGGGAGGCTGTGCCTTCTGGTAGTTTTCTCTCAGTCCCTGGGAAACTCAGCAAAAAGTCTGCTTGCACAGATATGCCTTGGACTCTGCCTCTGGCAGTCCATCAGAGGACGAGACTTCTAAGGGCCCTGTTGTAAGAATTTCTGCTGCAGATCACAGAGACTTATGTACTGGAAACTGATACCAGAAGCACCCCAGCTGGTCTTAACTCTCATGATGGAACAGAAGACCAGAGGTGACTTTTTACATAACTGGGTCCTCATCCATTCTATTTTAAATTCCACCTGGATGCTACCAGTGTGGGACAGAGCACAGGCTTGTGACCACTGGCTCTCAGGAGGGGGCAGAGAATGGCATTCTGGATGTCCTGTTGTCCTTTGGTGGCCTGAAAAGCCCGACTTGGAGCAGCAGAGGAGACACCAGTGACAGAACTAGGAGAAGGGACAGGAGTTGGAGAAGATGCTGTCTTGCTTTGTAAATTTTCACAACTATGAAAGTAAAAAAAAAATTTTTTTTTGTTTACTTGTCCTAGAAATTAAGATTGAAGAATACTCAATAAGTGTTAATAGAAAGTGACTTATCTCTAGAGGTATTTGCACTGATTACGCAATCTTTTCGGAATGAGGGAATATAAGTAAAATCCTTGACAAACAAGAGTGGTCACTATTTGTCAAAACTGAAATACATGGAGAATGTTGAATCTCTCCATACCCCTTTGCAAAACATTTTTTCTGAATTCTGTATAACAAAACAACTGAATTAATGAATTATTATTGAGTTTAAAAAATTATCAAGAAAACTTCAAAAATCTGGACTTTCATATTTTTAGGAGTACTATTTATGGAGAGATCACTGGGATGTCTATAATGGAAAAAACCAAATTTTCTCTTTTTTTTTCCTTTTGACTAAAATCAAGCAATCTCAAACTTTAAGGGAGAAAACTTGGAGGGAAGTCATTTAGAAAGAATCAACGGTGTCTATCTTATTCTAACTGTTGGTCTGCATAATTACATTTAATTGTTGTGATGTAATTCTGCTGTCAACAAAATGCCAGTCAAAAATCAGTAAATGCTGAAACTGCCTTTGTATTCGAGGCGGTTGTCCATACGTTTGACCATTGGCTACTGTCCTCATCATGGGTGGGCAGCATGTTGAAGTGAGGTTTGTTAAGTCTGGTCAAGCGACAGTTACCATTTGGTGTTTACTCCGTCTTCACACCAGATGAATCACACTTAAATTTAACTTTAATTTTTTCACTTTCGCCACTGAAACCTTTAATGATTTCTTATTTACCCCTCCCTATGTTGTAAACCCTTTGGTTTGACTTCTAAAAATCCTTCATTCAGGATTTCTCCATAGCTGTCATTTTTTTATTAAATTCACTCTATTTCCTTATGGTCATTCTCCCTAGGCAGCCCAATGTCTTTCTTCCCTTTTCCACAAGTAGGGCTTGCATGTTACTATTT